GACAGACCATGTTCAAATCTAGTTTACAACTGATATGCCAGCATAGTACAGACAGGGTTAACCATGTTAAGATTAATCTTCTCACCCTCCTTGCATTACAGAGGGAAATTCAGTACAGGGAAGAATTTTGCAGATTTGCATTTCTTTTTAAGTTCTAAAATAGGTGATATCCCCATTTCACTGCAGAAGGGAAATACACTTTAAGGCAGCACTGACACACATGCACACTCACACTCTCACACACTCTTTGGACCACTTAAATGAAACGGGAATCTCTAGGTTAGGTAAAGTATTTCAGTAGGCTGAACCACAAAGTTTGCGCAACAGCTTGGCATTGTGACTTAAAATACAGATCACCATAAATATTTGCAGGAAGAGTCTGTGGGAAAGAACTTGTAAAACGTACAATTCATGAATTGTGCAAGGTGTCTTCTCTTTCTAATAAAATAAGTAAAATCTCTCATGGGCTACAACCTTGGATCACCAGATGTTAAGATGGCATTGATGAAAATTGCATCTTTCAAAAATCTATTGCAATACATGGCCAGTTTCGTTTTTGGTTAACAAATTCAACTATCTGCTACACGGATATTTTGGTTATGGTTTTAAATGAGCCCTTGATTTTGGTCTAAGCTATCAGTTTAGTGCACGGGCAGCATAAAAAGGAGAGTTCTTTCAGCTAGTACCATTTGTACATCATGTATCTCCTGCAAAGGAATCCGCTTTATGGAACTCGCTATATGATTTCTTGCCACTGAATGCACCTTTTGCAATAAGGAGCATTTACAGCCCATTAAAATTAGGGATGCACCAATACTGTTTTTTTCTCCAGTACTCGCCGGTGCCGTGTGCTCCGATTTTTACCAGGAAGTCCAGCGGTGGATCATGACCCGTCGCCCGGCTTCCTGATTGCCGGTATTCTAGCGAAAACATCAACTTCACTTACCGAGGCTGCCTGCTTCCTGATTGGAAAGGAAGCCAGCGCTATTCTCCCTCGACACTGCCAGTCAGAGGGACATCTTCCTCTGATCGGAAGTACTGGTATCGGTGGTAAGTATCAGAGCATTTGGGGGATTATAAGTACTAGCCCAAATACTCGGTATCGGCACCGATAATGGTATCGGCACCGATAATGGTATCGGTGCCACCCTAATGAAAATGATTGAAGGAAATGTACAGTGCTGTCAATGAGCCCTGCATCAGCGAGGTGAAAAGAGCAACATTACACTTATTTATCACAAGGTGCAGCGATCCTAGCACGATGCCATATTTGTTGCTTATTAACATGATATAATCCTTTGGCTTAAAGGAAGTTCCTCCGTCTTCAAATAGTTTCAGTGTAGGAATAAATATAAAATGTGTAACTAGTGCACTATAAAACTTTAACTAGCATATGTTCATTTTCCAGCCTCTTTATGGAAATTCTAAAGTGCTGCACAGACTGTGATGAGATCCAGTTCAAGGAAGATGGCTCCTGGTCACCTATGCGGTCTAAGAAAGATGTGCAGGAAGTAACAAACTCGTATAATGGAGTGGACAGTGAGTATTGTTTTACACTTCTTTTTTTGTGTGTGACTTGTAGCAGACTGTTATAGTATGGTTCATAGTAGTAGTTTGATCATCCTATTCCTATAACATAGGCATGCTTTCAACATGTTTAAACAATTGTTATCCCACAATTAAGATTTGTGATGGATAATTGTGCAATTAAAAAATGCCTAAAAATCCTTCCTAGGAAGGTTGTGCCCTACAAAAGATTTTTCCAAATCGCAAAACTGTTGAAGGTGTAGACTATTCTCTCCATCCTTCCTGGAAAAGGAAGTGTTTTTACCCAGCCCATATAGAACGTGGATTATGGTTAGAAATGTTCAGCTTATAAGTGTGCCATGTATGCTGTCATACAGCCAAATCACATGGACTTGTGTTCAGTTTTCTTTGCATGTTGTGAAAGATGATCAGGTGCTGAGAGGTTGGATTTGAGCAGAATTGGCCATAGACTAACATTATTCCCTATGTCTTTGCCACATAATTTGTAACTTGTCACAGGGCCTAGCTTTTCAGGAAACAGCTGATGATTTTCTATATAAATAATCATCTCGCATTCACTTTGGGTTTCTCTTTGTTCTGGGTAAGGGACAGCTAGTCTTACAGTGAGAACAGCACAGAGCCAGGCCCTCAAGAGTATCCTGCTGCTTAAGCAAGGTGGAGCCCAGCATTAATACCAGCTGCCAGTGATGGCACCAGCTGTATTTTATTTTGAAAGAAGGTTAATACTGTTTATGCCCAGCCAAAATAAAAAATCTAATATCTATATCTCATATACTTAGAGCTAGTTCACAACAGCGCAATGCGTTCCAGCACTTTTTTTGTTTCCCCTGCAAGAGGCGGGAGGGATAAACTCCTGTCTGGTTTTTGTGCTCTATGGAGCTCTGTTAAATATGCACCTCGGGTCACGGTGATAACTGTTCACTGGACAGGAACTTATCTGGTGACACAGTTGTCGGCATAACTGGAAGTTATTATTATTCAGGATTTATATAGCGCCAATAGTTTGCGCAGCGCTTTACAATATAAGAAGACATACAATCTGGCCTTGAATTGTATTGAGATTGTTAAGGAGGGCCCTGCCCCTGAGGGCTTACAATCTAAAGGGAGGGGCAAGTGATAAATTAGGAGGGAGCTGTGTGGGGATGATTCGTTTGAGAACGTGATGGTTGAGGGGTTAGGTTGAGATGTCATAGGAAGTGAAGATGAAATGTTGGGTAGAAGTAGTGTTCCTGGTCAGTAGGTGCTGAAGAAATACAAGAGGTGTTTTGGATCTTGTACTGAAGGGCGTCTAGTAAGCGGGCGCCATTTTCAGTACATCTCTTTTTGGAGGGCTGTGTGCCAGATATCCAGCTATGCTTTAGATTGAAGGACTCTTCGGGTCCTCTTTCATAGTTCTTCTCTGCCATGAATTAGTCTTTTTTCCTGTTTGGCTTCAGTTAATAATTAATGTCCCTCTGGATTTGTTACTTGGAATTTATTTCCCATTGATCCTCCATCACTTGTGCTGCATTGTGTGTGTGTGTGTGTGTGTGTGTGTGTGTGTGTGTGTGTGTGTGCTTGTTTCTTTGCGTTAAAGCTGAACAGCAGCTAGATATAAAAGACACAAATTGATGCATTTAAGTATTATGACCTTTATTTTTTATTGCAACTAGTCTAAATACTTTAATTTGACTTTATCGGCCTCTTGCAATCCCCTGTAAAGAATAGCAGATTGGAAGGGGGTGGTGTGCATCCATTGGAGCCAATCGGATGTGCTACATACAAGGAACATACAGACCAGGAACACGCTGATAGGAGAAGAGCAGAGTGGTGAGCTCATCTGTCTACTGCTGCTTCTTCCCTGTCCAGTTCAGTGTATTCCTTAACTGTAACAGAGAAACAGAGGCCAAGTAATAGCCTGTGCTGTGTGACCGAGCTGTCTAAATCTCATGACTGAATGGATACAAATGCAAATCCTTTGGCAAGGAACACAACCTCCTATTTGTTTTTCGTCTCTGTATTTAAATGTTTGTCTGGAGTTTAAAGTAAAACCGTTGTAATGCTTATTTCCAAGGTACGAGCGTGAAATGTCTGACAGTAGTGGTTTTATCTTGTGTATGTAATATTTCAGATGGGTGTATCAGCAGTACGGTGGAGCATCAGGTGTCCTCACAACAATCAAGCAAAAATAGGAGGGTAGAGGTGATTGATCTGACGGTGGACAGCTCTTCAGATGAGGAGGAGGAAGAGCCCTGTGCTAAAAGGAGTTGTCCATCGATAACCCCTGCTTCACCTCTCAGCAACAAGAGGTACGTTTGTACAAGAGTGTCGTAATATTAAAGGGAATCCAATCTGGAATAAAACTTTAAAATAACAATTCTGAACAAGTACTTGTCTGTTACTCTTCAAATGAATCCCTGTGGAGCTTGTTGGATCCCAGCTCCAGGCTTTACCTCTACCAGATTGAGATCAAGACCCTGTTTCCTGTCACTCCACTGTGTTAAATGCTGGAACTTCTATTGCCCTCTGAATCTGACATTTGATAGCTGTATGAGAGGTGGCTCGTTAAAGAAGGTGCAGCGCTTTAATATTACTTTGTGGCATGTACGGTGAGGGTGTAGGATCCAACAGGTGCCCCCCTATTTGACAACATTTTACATGAAAAAAAGCATTAGTAGTACGTCGCATCTGTTTCTGAGCTGTCTTTGCAGTGACTGATGGGTTCACCTTTCATCTGCATTGCCATCTGCTGGTGATATGTGGTATAACAATTACAGATCAATGCAAAAACATTTGCATCATTTCAGAACATCCTGTTGCTTACATGGGAGCCACTGATGACTTTCTCACTTTTTTCTCTCCCCTTTTCTAGTATGTTGACTCTGCCACACCAAGGTTCTCCTATATCTCGGACTCCCAGTTTGCCAGCTGTGGATTCAACATATATGAACAGCCCTCTGATCCAGGACTACAGGCACCCCTTCCATATGACACCTATGCCGTATGACCAGCTAGGTAGGAGTCCTGCATTGTCACTGTACCTAAACCTTCTGTTACAACTATTTCTAAAACTGTTTTTGCACTTTTTTGTGCTGGTTTATATTTTGGGGTTAAACAGTGTTCTCCTATTTTATTTATTGTAGGGAGTATAATTCATCCTATTACCTTGCACAGAACCCTTCTCAGGTTCCTTGTAAACCGCTTGCTTGGCAAGTCTAAATTTATCCAGAGAAAATCACATAATGGTTTGTTGGGCACCAAATGTAGTGTGTTGTGGTGTTTTTTTTTTGTTTTGTTTTTTTTTTGGAGAGGAGGGTTTGTAAGGCAAGCATAGCATGCTTAAAGGGGTTCTAAACCCTCAGTTTTTTTGCCTATTTCTACTGCTACCGAGCAGCAGATATATGCAAAAAGTTTTAAAAACAACAAAAACGATTTAACAGCGGTTTAAACTTACCCCGTAATCGTCACGTGCTCCCGCCCGAGAATCCGAAACTGCTCTGGCGGCCGCAAAGCATCTTGGGGCGGACGCATGCGCAGTTCGGATTTTCGGCCAGGAGACGAGCAAAGACGCAAGGTAAGTCTATAGACGCGTGTTATCGGAAGTGCCAGCAAGGACAGAGGAGTCGGCGCTGGATCGGAGAGGCGCCGCACCGCTGGAGAGACAGATAAAAACATCAGGAAAGATCGGATTAAAGGTGCCCATACACTGCACGATTCTCGAAATCCCGTGATCGTACGATCGTGCAGTGTATGGAAGGCGTGTGCGACCGTTTCTAATGTACGGTTGCACGACTTTGTATTTCGAGCATGTTTGGTAAAACAGCCAAGAATCGTACGATTTTCGGCTGGTTTTTAACATGATCGAGAGATGACTGCCGACCGGGCCGGTGTGCGCACGTGCAGTCATCGGAAGCCGGCCCCTCAGGGGGGCGGGCTTGCAATGATCGCAAGTACGATCTGCCTGTCCAAGATAGGCAGATCGTTCATTTTTTAAATTACGTTACAACCCTCGCAAGACTAAAGTCCTGCGAGGGTTGTAAAGTGTATGGGAATCTTTTAGAGACATCATTTAAGGTAAGTGCTAACATTGGGGGGAGGGAATTTTTTTTTTTGTCTTTTAATGTCACTAACATTCTTTTCTGTAAAGCAATCCCTTTAGTTTCACTTTAATAATTGTGGCCCAAGTAGGGAAAGTAATTTTCCTGGCATGTGCAGAGATTATTGGCCCCCACCCTCTCCATAGTGATGGCCTATGATATGGCTCTGAATGACGGCAGTGCTCTTTTTTTAAAGATGCGGGTTAATCTAGAATATAAATGTCCCTTTTAAAAGATCTTTTGGACATTTTTATACATTTTAATCTTTTATTTCTTTTTCTCTCTTTTTCAGGATTGGACTTCTTTCAGTTTATGTCTGGAGACAACCAAGTAAGTCTAATTTTATATTTTTACAATGCTTCGTCAAGAGTTTGCACCTTTTACTGTTAAAGAATAGGGAGACTCTCATTCAGGGCAAACTGATGGGCCTTCCCCCTACCCATCAATATTAGTGTCTTATGCACTACCGCCTCTGCTGTCACATCTTTCAGGAAATACACAGACGGACATTTTATCCCGTCACACAGCTAGGCAATGCTAAACCGGAGCAATTGGGCATATTCATTATTGGGCATCTTCATTTAGAACTTCCTCTTCAGCTGCTCTAATTTAATACTGCAGCAGAACAAATCTTGCCCCTGACTTTTTAATTGTGCTTCTGTTTTGGTGAAAAATCTTGTCTTCAGTAAGTAAATGTTGCAAACCTGGAAAAACTGATGCGTAGACTTTTTTTTAACTGACATTTTGCCTAATGTGCATCTGGATTTGTTGCTAATTTGGATAAATGTCCCTCACAGTGCTTTGGTTATGGAGGAGCTTGTGACCACCTCCCTGGATGCAATTCTCAGGCCTGGGCGGCCAATCACTAGGGCCCAAACACTGCCAACTAGGGAGGCAGACGAAACCATTTGTTATAGCAAACATTGAGCTTACACAGGGTTGTGACTCCTGGCTTCAACAGAGGCAGGGGGCAACGGGAGTGTAGGGAAGGTGAGTATCTGGTGGGTGGGGTTTTGTTTAACACGAGAACCTGTCAATTTGCCTTGAATGGGAAAAGTAACCATCTCTGGAATACTCACAGATAAAATAATTGGTGCTGTTCTTTTGCATAAGTTTCTAATGAGTGCAGACTTGTTCATGTCTGGAGTTGTGGCTTATTAAAGAGAACCAATACTAAAGAAACCCGGATTGCTGTCTTTTCTTGGTTACAATGTTGTTCTCTGGCTTTCATGGTGATCTGAGATCTTCACTTCTTTAAGTCCCTGATCTATAATAAGCATGCAGGTGAGGAGTTCGGACTTCAGTCTGACTGTTTGCTGCATGCTTGTTCTAGGTCAGTGGCTCAGAATCTGTTTGTCAGGGAATTGCCATTACAACCAGACAACTGGCTTTTTTTAAATTTTTATTTTTTTATAAGGATGTCTACAATGCCAACCTTCAGGTTTCCTTTTACGCACCTTTTGCATTAAAGCGCATATCTGGTATACAAATAACCAAGCTTCTGACCCTCATTCTACCCATCTTCACCTTGGCCATTATCTTTTTATTAGAAAATATTAGACTGCAGTAAACAGGTTTTAAACTACCTGAATTCTCAAACTGCTCTGATTTCATGCTCTGTCTGGTCAAAAGTGGGAGGGTGCAGTGTAGCGCTGCACATTTAAAAAAAATGTATCTGCATGTGCCACACAGAACTACATATCCCATCAATCTTTGGGATTATAGTTGGGTGGTTTCCTTGGGATGGAGTAAGGCGAGTTTAATATATAGATATAAACTATTAGGATAGAAGTTAAAGTTTGCCCAGAGATCAGTTTTAGGGCTAATTCACACCAGCCCCAATGCATTCCGGCGCGTTTTGGTGCTTGAGCGCACTGGATCGCAAACTGGCTTGCGTTCTGGGCTGTAGTGGGTGTGGCTGTGCATTAAAGTCAATGGCACTGGAGCCACGCTCTCTGATCGTAGTACAATTGCTGGCACCGGAACGCTTTGCACATCAGTGCCTGTGTTCTGGTCTTGTGCCGTCAGAAAAAAATAGTGCATGCACCAATTTTTCGGACCGGACTGCGGGTATTGATGTGCCACGCGTTCTAGTGTGGGCGATCGCGCGGCGGGGGCCCCATAATGCAGTGAGCTGACCGGGATGCAATCCAGTGCGTTCCGGGCACCGAATCATGCCGGAATGCACTGGGGCTGGTGTGAACTAGCCCTCAAATATTTGAATTGCCTTGTCTTGCCCTTATTATTTTGATCAGGTAATCTTTTTATGCTTTGTGCGCTTTCACCCTTACCAACAGCCTTTCATTAATATTATGTATCTCTCTTTCTTCAGCATTACAACACGTCCCTCCTGGCTGCCGCAGCAGCTGCTGCTTCTGAAGAACCAGATCTTCTTCATTCATCGCGATTCTTCCCTTACACCTCCTCTCAAATCTTCCTGGACCAGCTAAGTGGGGGGGGGAGCACCACTCTGCCTGCGACCAACGGAAGCAACAGTGGCAGCAACAGCAGTTTGATATCCTCGAACAGCCTCCGTGACAGCCACGGGGCAGCCAGCCGGGGGCCAGCAGACAGCTCTTCTCTGTATGGCATAATCCCAGATGTTATCTCTTTGGACTGATCTACAGATGAGCACACTCGGGGAGGGATTTGGACCTCCACTTGTCACCCTATTCCTCTTATTTTATTTTTATTTTTAAGGAAAAGTTTAACAAAAAGACATGTACAGAGAACAGAACTATATTTTCAGTTTTACTTTTGTATATAAACCGGAAACTTTACTCATCCCCTAACAGAAACTGAGACATGGACCCACCTCTTCCCTCCCTGCACTTTTTTCCTTTTTCAGTTCCAACTGGATCCTGGAGACTGACTCTTGTTCTGGAGACCTCCTGCCCCCCTACTCACCAGTTGGTTTCTCCTTCTCCTGTTTTTCTGGCTTCTCAGCATTACCCATTTCTGAACCCTTTAGAGCAGACACAGTATTGGTTTGGTTTTCCCTCTGCCAGTCACATGCTTATGTCAATCAGTTTCTCAGTCTCCATTCCTGAACCTTCACAGCAACGATCTCTTGTCTGATTTAATTTCTGCACTTCTTAATAAGTATTTATTGGATCTTGTGTAAGTCTTCAGCAGTACACATGAGAATCCTGACATTGTTCCTATTCTAGGTGGTGCTTGGTGAGGTTTGGGGTGGGTTAATGGCATCATATTGTTTGCTGCCAAATGAACATTTCAAAAACAAAGCACTTCTGTTCCCATCAGCACTGAAAGCTAGTCTCCGAGGTCCAATGTGAGCCATCTACAATTCCGAGATTAGGGTTTGTAGTGACACAGAGCAAGGACTCTTCCATTGCATGGTCTGGTGACATTTGGGGTCTGAAATTCTGGGATAAGAACAATGAGAATGGGGGGAAAATCCTGAATGGAATCTGAGTAAATTGGCCTAAGCTGGTGATCTGAGGCATACTCAAACCACTATAAGGTCTCGTTCACACCTAGGCGTATTGCATTTGCGTGTCTGTCGCGCGTTTCTTACCGCGATTCGCTGTAAAAAAAAGTTGCGCGACAAACGCGCGTTTCCGAAGGCTACTTGACTGTATCCCAATGGAAACGCACAACAAAACGGCCCAAAGTAGTACATGTACCTTTTCAGGCGTGGCCCGTTTTGTAGCGCGTTAGGGACGGGCGGAAATACGCCAAGGTGGGAACGAGACCATTGAATACAATGGGATTTATATTTTTGAGCGTTCGTCGAGCGTAGAACGCGCTACAAAACGTTCAGGTGTGAACGAGGGCTAAGACTCTGAATCTGAGTCTTGCTGCTTTCTCCTGCAGATTTCAGTGGACAGTATACAGATATTGTAAAGGCGGTGGATCAGCAGATGAGGGGAATGCAGTAATCTCTGCACCTTCCTGTCTGCTATCCATTGTAAATTGTTGTGCTGATGCGTAGCTGAATGTGGACAGACCATGCAGGGGAGAGCAGGAAGCCCTGTGCGTGCATAGAATGCCAAGAGTAGGTCCCTGGCTCTTGTAAGTAAATTTCTTCAAGTCCCCCTCCTATTTGAAACTGGTTTAAGATCTAAAATACATGGGGGATTGAAAATTCTCTTAAATACCATGTGTGTAGTATGTTAAAATCAGTGTGTTTCATATGAGATGATTGCCTACTGTAGCCTAGGCTCTTTTATCAGTCCCAAGATTGCCCATGTATTTTTGCCATGTCTTGATGTTTTACATCGATCAGATTTGACTAAAACAAATTCATTTTAAAGGATACTGCCATCCAAGATATTTACCAGGCACCTAGGTTAATACCAGTGGAGCACTACACACCAGTATAGCCATGTCCACCCTGCCCATGCTCTTGTGTAACAGGATAGTAACTGAAGCAAAAAAATAGATTTCGAGGAGAGCACAGAAAGATTTATATCTGGGAGACATTAAACATGCCGCTCACCTCCTGCTGCCCAGGGGCCTGACTGCATATTCCTTATCTGATGTCAATAAGGCACTGGCCAAAAACAGCACGAGCAAGTCAAAGAATAAAGCATGATGCAGCTGCAACAAAACCAGTTAGTCGCTTGTAACTGATTAGAACAGACCGGCCACTAATTAATAAATAAGTGCACATATTCTCACTTGGCTTTATAGCTCCCCAAGCCCAGGGTGCTTCAGTTCCACAAGGCATGACTGGGTTCCATGCATATCATGTCAGGCTGTTCTATTGGTTATGGGGTACGGTATGTTCATCATAATGATGGATTAGATTTGTGGGGTCAGCTGTGGATTTAAGAACTGAAGGTCTTTGTATCTACGAGCCTACTATGGAGCTTTTATAAGCGAAGTGACAATACTTGCTGGAACTTTTTTAGGTTCTTGTTTTGCATATGGGCTGTTAGATTGGAAACTTTGACATGAACAAAGGTTTGCTTTAAGTAATGTGGAACTAGTGGCTGTGAGTAGATATCATCTTGGAAACCTGCTTATGGTTTTGTTTCATTACTACTGTCAAGGTTACACGTTAGTAGATCTACTTCTGGCAAACCTGGATAGGCAATCTTCCCCCCTCCCAAGTTCCTAGAGCTTACAGCTCCATAGCTGGAGAGGTACTGCCCATGCTCAGGAGGTGGCTTGCTGTTGTGCCTATGAAGGGTCCTGAGGCAGCTGGAAATCTGAAAGAAGTGTTGTGTTAGGATCTGTCCTCTGCTTTGCATGACAGTGGTAGCCATCTGCAGTGTAAGCTCTACGGGTCCTCTTTCATTAATACCCCGCTGCCTCTTTATATCTTTTGTAAATCTGTTACATAATTGAAATGATTTAATATTGCATTTCAAATGTTTTGTCTCCCCCCCTATCAATGTTAGTGCTTGTGTACTATTGACTTGTTCTTACAAAGGTGCAATTTTTTAAGAAGCAATCCCCTCTATTTTGGATATAATGACAGAATCCATGTCTTACGGACATGAATGGAAAATCTGTCCAGCTACTTTTTGAAGGCTGGCGGCACGTCTGTCACATCAGGTGTCTGAGATGGCATGATTGTGCCAAGGTAACGTGGCGAAGTTGTCAGGTAGTGACCTTGCCGCCAACACAATGGCTGAGAGCACTCAGCAGTGTCCTACGTGCCGCACTAGCTGAACCAGTGAAGCGCCACTTTCATGCCACTGAGAAACAAACAAGTTTGTGGCATTTCTGCCAGCGAGGAGTGATGCTGTAGGATCAGAGGAGTGTTCAATTACTATTGCTTGCAAGTTATGGGGTGGTTAGTGTGACATTTTCCTTCGTTGGTAGCTTCAGAGACTGGACTTGGGCATATTGACATTGTTGTAATTGGCATACCTGGCATTGCTGTACGTAGACTTTCTAAACGTTGTTCTTCACTGGAAGTCTTTTTTTTTTATCATTGCATTTAAACAACCAATACTTTTGAATGCCTAATTGGCAGCATTGTTTTCTTTGGAGAAGGGGAAGATAACTCGAAAGCACAGTTTATAATCTGTCTGAAACTAGTAGAACAATAAAACCTTTCAAAGATAAAACCCATATTGATGCTAGGGTTAATATAGCAGTTATTTATTTTTTTGTTTGTCATATAAAGATTGAAACAATCCTTGCTCTGACTTTTTTTTTTTCTTTTAATTTAGACACAATTATGTGTGAGCACTATTCACCCTGTTTATTTAAACTAGATGCGGAGATGGTGAGCGTAAAGCCTCAATGTTGTAGAGCCACTTTGCAGACTTGAATGGCATGTTGATTTGCACACTTCGTCCTTCCCTAAAAGAGGGTTTAGCTCTGTTTGGCTTTCCTACAACTCGGGTGTAAGAGCCTGTAGTGAAAGAAGTTGATCGTGACAGTTTTTTTTTCCCGGTCCTAGGACTGCTTTTGAGGGGTTGCCTCTTTGCCATCTTTTAGTGGCCTCCGTGACGGATGTTGGGTTCAGGGTGTGCACTTAGAAGACTTTGCAGTTTTAAGGTGTTTAAAGTCTTCAGTTAACAATTGCCTTTTATGGAGAGGCTCTATTACCATTCAAACACATGTCTGCAAAAGGTATCAGATGAAAACAGGTAGGAACCTCTGTGCTTTCTGTGAGGTTATTAGCCATTTTAGACTAATGCTGGCCATACACTATGATGAACCAGCCAAAATTTGCACAGTGGGTGCCACTGTCGGCTCCATTTTTGCCGGCATCCCTTAATCAGCGGATAGAAGGAGCCAGTCGGAAAATCTTTGAACAAATAGAGCCAGCTGCTGGCTCTGTTCGGGTATTCTGACGGCGGCTAGTGGGATCAGCAGTCGGAATATAATGTAGACAGCTGGGGATTCCTCGATCAACACTCGTAAGCATTGATGGAGGAATCTGTAGGTTCAACCAGGTTGAACAAGGAAAATAGTGTATGGCCAGCTGAAGAGGCTTGCCAGACGTGGACTAACTACCCTGTCCACAGTGCCTGTGTGTAATTGTCTCGGGAACAGTGTTCTTTTTTTATTTTCTCAGTTCTCATAAGCTCGTACCACTTGTATATTTGTAAATGCCTTTAAATACTCTTCTACATAAACAAATGTAAAGTCATTTTAGATTTCCCTGCGTTTTTTTTGTTTAAACTGAATGCTGTCTATGGTCTTGCTCTCCAGAAGTAGATGGGTTTTCTTCTGTCTTCAGACAGCCATAGCTGCCAAAAATGTACCTTTTTTTTTTTTTTTTTTTTTTTTTTTTTTTCTTTCTTTCTTTCTTTCTGGTGCATTGATATGTTTTGCATTCAGCCGTGACAAAACTGTGTACATGGCTGTGTTGAAGGCCTTGTTTTCCCTAATAATGTATTACTCCTCACAACCAATTTTTTTTTTTAGAAGGTTCATGTAACACATGTAGTCTGTCTTCAATCCAAAAGCATTTTAGAATTCCATTCAAGGTGAATTCTTCTCTTGGTATACTATCCAGGTTTCCAGTGATGCCATCTAGAGGCAAAGCTTGGTTACTGCAGCAGCTAGTTGATGCAAAAATAATGGGTAGGATATTTTAATTTCTTAAATCAGACTTGCATTCATTTTTTTTGATACGCAAACCAAATTCTCTGCCTGTTCCCTTCCATCTCCTGCACCTTCCTGGCTACT